TATGAGGAAGAACTCGAGGAATTTTTGTACCTCAAGAGAAGCCTCAGTGGGTCTTATCTTCAGCGGCTAAACAGTGATTTAGAAGCAGGAAAGGGACCGATGCATTTTCCTCAGTGTTGAGTGGAAGGTCATTAGTGAATATTACTTACGTTTTCCATCTGCAGCACAGGAGATGTGTGGAAAGCCAGGTAGGAATCAGAGGAGGACCCCACATATTGGGGATGGGTCATCCAAGATTTCTTGGGGACCAGTTGGTGCCAATTACTGTTAGGTATGGTGGCACTGAAAAGAATGACGTAGAGCTCTTGGTCTCCCCACAGGACTGCAGTGGTGTGCATGTGTGTGCCTGGGGTGGTGGGAGCATAAGACATGCATGTGGCTGTCATCATCCAGGTGATAGACAATCAAGCAAACCTTAAAAGAAAAGGAAACATACCATCTGGGCCCCTCACAAACGAAATGGAATATGGCCAAGCAGTAGGACAAAGCAATGACATTCAAGAGGGGGCAGATGGCAGGATTCAAAGAAAGGCCAGTGGTGTGAAAGGTTGCAGACATGTTTGGCAAACTGCCCTCGAGTGGTGTGGTACGTGGAGGAGAGGCGTGCAGGTGGAGGCATTGGTGTCAGGGAGGGGCTGAGTAGGGGCAGGTCTGGAAGGGTACCTTGGATGTGGAACCTCAAAGATTTCAGAAAGGGAGCAGCACAGTCAGATCCTTATTTTAGGAAAGCGCTTCCAGGAGCAGCCAGGTGAGAACAGGGAGGCAGTAGGCTTGCTGGAGGCAGAGGGACCAGAAGGCAACCAGGCAGATTGTTCAGAGGCAGAGTAACAAGGACACCCTTGGGAGTCACTTTAGCAGAAGACCTGTTGTACTTGCTGATGGAGATGAGATGCGGGGTGAAGTGGACAGGTTTCTATCTGGGTCAGTGGGTTAGAAACGAGAGTATAAGAGATGGAAGATCCTCATGAAGACAGCTTTTCATGGTGGTGGTGTGCTCCTGAGAGGCACCTCAGCCATTGGCTGGGCTGGGCTAGAGGCCCTGGAAAGGGTAGGAAGATGAGATTTGCACCTGAGAAAGATGCAGGTAGTGGGTCATCCTGGGGAGTTGGGAGTTGAAACTAGAGAAAACAAGGGTTTTCCAGGGGAAGTGGTAGTAGGCAGAAGGAAGGGCTCTGTGGGTGAGACCGTGGGTGTCACTGACATTTGAAGGCAGGAAGAGGAGCAGGTGGGGAAAGTGGGAGGAAGGAGACACCCATGTCGTGGAACCGGGAATGAGAGTTTTAGGAAGCAGGTGGAGGTGATCAAATGTCACACAAACACCACTAAGTCCAGCAGGGAGATGACACGACTGTCTTAGCCATTGGGAACCCCTGGGGCCCACCTGCCTGGTTCCAGTCCAGTGGGAGTGAGGGGCATCGTGAGATTACAGAGTGGAGCAGGGTGAGGCTGGCAGTTCCCAGGTGGGCCGGGGGTCCCCAGGTGCCAGTGGGACCACACTGGCTGGCCTAGTGCCCTGCCATTCTGTTTTGTATGCGCCATACTTGGGTTTCACAGCCTTGCAACTTGCTTTGACTTTGTATGTTTGAAACATTGTCACTCTTTGTCCTTTGGGTTTTATTTTCTTGTGTGTCTAAAGGCTTAACAAATAAGCTCTCCGATCATTTTCCTCGCTCCAGTCCTTCCTGCCCCCTTGCTGCTTCTCCTCCTCTCTCCTCACCTTCCTCTACCTCTTCCCTCTCACACACACAGGTGCTGTGCTGTGTCCTTAACATTCAGAGCACCCAAACTCTTCATTCATGGTTTGGTTTTGATGTTTTTAATTAGGTTCTTCAAAAAGGAAAGTATCTTCAAGTGATTTCTGTTTATTTTGAGAATAATAAGTTTGCAAATTCCATGTTCCCTAAGACCAGAGTGCTCCATCTCTGGAAAGCTTACAGGAGAGAAATGCCCATTGTTTGGCCAACTGAGAAAGCTGGTGGACTTGCACACTCAGAAGTGACAGCAGCTCCCCTGGCAGGACAGGGGCTGGCCTGTCCATGCTGTCACCTTCAGTGCTTATGAGCCCTGCTTGGTGGAGCAGCCAACACCCTACAAGAGTATGCTCCTGAGAGGACCTCAGAGGGTTAGGAAACAAAGTTTGGTTTTTTGCCCCTACTACTTCTGCAGCTGAGCTCTGCATCCTCAGTCTGAAGTGCAGGGGAAGTATAACTTCCTGGGTACTGTACTTCCTGGGGTTGAAGTAAGGACTGGGTTAGTTGATATTGATACATGCCAGAGCACTTCGTAAACATCAAGTGGCACATGCCACCTAGCAGCTGTACCTCACCTAAGTAGCATTTTACTGTATTTGGCTTTTTGTGACTGGCTTAGTACAACTAGCACCACTCCCTCAGGATTCATTCATGTTGGAGCATATGTCAGATTCCTTTTTTGGTAGGGTAAGTGATATTCCGTTGTATGTACAGACCACATTTTGTCTGTCTGTTGGATGTCTGTCTGTCCGTGGACACTTGTGTTGCTTCTACCTTTGGGCTATTGTGGCCCATGCTGCTGTGAACATTGGTACACACATCTCCTCTCAAATTCCTCCTTTCACCTCTTTTGGGGTCCCATCTGCAGGTGGTGTTACAGGCTCAATTCCATTCTAAGAGAATGGGACGTATCTTTGGCTTTGTCATTTGACCCAGTGCCTGCTTCTGAGGATTCCTTGTCCTCCTGGGGCCATCCTGAACCGCTTCCTGGGTACCTCCGTGGCTCATGTCTGTCAAACCAGGGGCTGCTGTACTGCCCTCACTCAGGCCCACCGATAGTGCGTCTGTTCCCCAGGACAAAGACAGAGAGAGTCTTCATTCAGGGACACCACTGTCTCCCCTTGTTTCTGCTCCCTGCAGCAGCCCAGCACTGCCAGCTCTGGAGACTTCTCAGCTCCCTTCCCAATTTGTCACCCTTTAAAGGCTTATTTGTGCTATGAGCTCACTTCTCCCTGTTTTCTAGGAGGGACTGATCCACAGAGCAAGGAAGCAGTTTTCCCTGTGGGTACCCTATGTTTCCAGCTGAAGGCCCCATTTTCATAAAAGCAGAATGTTTCCTCTGCCACGGCCTTGGCCACTGTCTGTTGCTGTCTGCAGATTCCCTAGAGGAAAGCACAGGTGTGTGCAGGGCTGGGCAGGGGGAGCCACCAAAGAGAGGCCTGGTAGCAGCTCTTATCCCAAGCCCTGGCAGGTGGTTGCTGCTGCTGCGGGCTTCTCTGACTTCTGGAAAGTGGGCTTAGCACTTCTGACAGACTAAGGAGCAAGGCCACCACGGTGCCATCAGCATTAGGGACTCAAGTGGAAACTTGAAGTAGGGTGGAATACCTGGAATCAAATCACCCCTAGTCCTTCCCCACTGTTTTTTTCCCCTTATGCTGTAATGCAACCTTTGTTTCCTTATGGGTAGCACAAGGAGGGAACATCGAACGTTTAGGGCCACCATCTGTCAGATGACTCCATCTTTGTCTATCCTGGATTTGAGGTGGGAGGGGTGGCCTGAGTCTGGTGGTCTGAATTGGTTATTTTGGCCCAAAGCCATTGGCAGTGACCAGTATCACTGGGACTGTCTGATTGTATCACTCTTTGATAAATCTGTTGAGGGTTTCTGTATATTTACAGCTAATGATTATTGTTCTGGCTGGTTCTCGAAGATTGGATATCTTGGTTTTCAGAAGGGAGATTTTACTTCCTAATCATGTATAGATTTGGATGAAGATCCTTCTTCTGAAGATTTTTGCTAGGTTATTTCATGGAATGACTGTCTTCTGTCCCCCAGGTTTGTGTGATTAGATGCAAACTATGACGATAGATGGGCTCTCCTGAGAGTTCGTGTCCCAGTAGAAACAATATCCTGAAGACCGCAGTCAGTTGCACTTACTGGATGTGGATGTCTCTCACTGAAAACACTAGAAAGGATTTTAAATATATATATTTGTCTTCCTCTGGCCCTGTTAGATGGGAAAGAAAAAGGAGAGAAGAATATGTTCTCCTTGCTCAGGCATTGCTTTGCTTATGACCAAAGTATGAGGACCCTGAGGCTGGGACTTGGGCGAAAGTAGTGCTTCCAGTGATGTCTTTGGTCACAGGAGAGTTTGCCTCTCATTGTATTGTGGAGGAGCCATCTTTGGATGTCTCTGGGGAAATCAGAGTTGCTCCTGGCCTAGATGCCTGTAACCCAGTTGCTCTGGTCTCGAGGAAGTGGAGGAGACTGTCCCTGCATCACAGTATGGGGGCTTCTGCCCTACTGGGGAGGAGGGGCCTCTCTGGCCCCAAACATCCTGGTTTTGTTGTGTTGTTCTACTGTTGCAGAATTAAATTTATATTTTCAGGCAAGCAGGTCTTCTCCACTGTGTGGTCCTTGTTTGTTTGTTTGGTTTAAAAAAGAAACAAACTACTTAATGAAAACTTGCCTACCCTTAGTGATTAATTAACTCATATCAATACCACGTGTTGTACCAGCTCACACTGTAATTACAGCCTTACCTATCATGAAAATTAATTCAGTGTTCGCAAAGAGCTCTGAAATCATTGCTGGATGAAAGGGCCTGTGGGAAGCCTGGGGATTTTAGTATGACTTTCTAGCCTGCATGGCTAGGGGAGGACTGACAGTTGCTAATGGATCCAGTCTTCTCTGCAGGAGGACCCTCCCTGCCGAGTGCTCCTATTTGCTCTGAAGGGATGGCATGCATTGTGTGACAGGGTGTCAAGCAGACCTGTGTGGTGGCCTCCCCATGTGCACCTCTATGGTCCCTTTGGACCAAACCCACAGCAACACCCCGTCTCTTTGCATGGGTACACACTGGCCTGTTTTCTTTGCATGAAGGTGTTTGGTAAGGAGGCATGCTGGAGAGAGATACTGTGATCATACCCACTGATGGTGTCACTCAGGCTTTGGTATTGGGATTAGAAGAGCCATTGTGAAACCAGAACTCCTGAGCCTAAGTCTTCTTTTCTCCCCTTTGTTCACAGTGGGGCCTTTTCTGAAGTGGTTTTAGCAGAAGAGAAGGCAACTGGAAAGCTGTTTGCAGTGAAGTGCATTCCTAAAAAGGCGCTGAAGGGCAAAGAAAGCAGCATAGAGAATGAGATCGCGGTTCTGAGAAAGTAAGTACCAATGGGGCCAGGCCTCCTCCTACCTGCCTGAGGGTCCTGCTGAGCAAGGGCCAGGTGCCAGGTGCTTGGTGCCCTTGCTGGCTGCAAGGTCAGAGGGGACCACCAGCTGCTGGCCCGAAGATGCTGAATGCTGTTCTCATGTTGTGCTATCTGAGCACTTTCTCCCTGGAGACCTGACTTCCCTTACAGCATACAGGCAGTCACGGAGATTGTTCTGTTTTCCAAAGAGCACGGCAGACATGGTTTTGAGCTTAGACCCTGCCATTCACTATAGCCGATGACCCTGGGACAGTTCCCTAACCTGAGTCTCCTCTCGAAGTGAAGCTCCTACCATCCCCTCACTGTGGGTGCTGAGGACTAAGTGAGATGCTGCTCACCAGGTGTTTGTGATGTGCTTACCACAGCACTGCTATGCAGTATGGGTAGCTGCCCCCCACCCCCAATATCATTAATATTGCTGCATGAAGCCCCACTGTGTGGTACTTGCATAGCAGAGCCTGGGATGCCCACACTTCTAGAATTGTTTCTGCACTTTGTGATCTTTTTCCCTGCTCTGTGCTACAAGCATGGCATTGGGCTCCCAGAAGTTTCTGTGGAGTTTGCTGTTGTCTTCCCTGGTACAATGACAAAGACAAACCGTCCTTACATGACGGGACCCACCCCCAGATGATCTTTTAGAGTCATGTCTGACCCTGTTCCCTACACTATCAGGACTAAGCCATTCCACCATATCTCACAAAATATAGGGGAATGAACCCTTATATAGTACCTGCATTTGCATGTTTGTCATGAATCTAAACAGTGTGCTGTGGAAATTTTTGAGTTGCTATTAATAAAAGATGTTCAAAATATCCTTGAAACTTTTGGGCCTTGGAATCAGCACATAGCAAGAATCCCATCACAGATAAGCAAAGCTAAATGGCAACAAGCCTTTTAGGGCCTCACAACAAAATGTCACAGTCTCCACATTCTTCTATGTAAGCCATTTCTCACCGCTCTGGGGCCAACAGTGTCCCATGGAAGGATGCTTTGCCATCGGTCCAAACTCAGCACCCCTGAGGTGGTCAGGACAGCCTGTCTTGTTCTGACCTTTGTGTGACTCAGAGAAAAACCCACAGCATTTTCCATGTGTGTTCCAGAACAAATGGGGCCCTGTAGCTTTCTGGTGTCAGGGTTTTAGCTTATTTGTTTGTTTGGTTTCTAGGTTCTCTGGATTGCCTATTAGGAAGCAAAGAGTTTCAGACTGTCTTGAGGAGGTTTGCAAGAAATGATTCTATGGATGAGAGTCTAGGAAAACAAATTAAGAGCATTAGCATTAAGCAGGAAAACATTGTGTTAATGAAACATTTATTTAAATTGCCCATCTTCCAATATGAAATCAGTGCTTGGAGAAGGAGTGACTCGCTGGTGACATGAAGTTGCAGACACTTCACAGATATTTGACATTTTAGATGGAATTCTGAGTGGGCCTGGAGCCTTCCAGATGTTGACTTCAGGCACAGGGGCTGTCTGCGGCTGCACAGAGGACAGTGCCTTCATTTTTATGTGACTTCCTTATGTGCTTAAAAGTAAAAATGCTGAGGAAGTCAAATTCTGTGCTTAGTGTTAGTTTCCAGCCACATGGGCAGGGATATGTAGGCTTTATAAGCTGGTCTTGGTTTATGCCGTGGATGTTCTTCTTTAATTAGTGTCTCCACCCTGTGCTTCATGCACGTCATCATATCGTGGAGAAGCCATGTAAAACAGGGAGGGGCAGGGATTTGGAGCAGCTCATTTTGATAATTTCTATCACTTATTAGAGTACGTTGAAGCAGACTCTTGTTTCTGGAGTAAGGAACAAAGAAATGATTTCTCAGGAGACAGGAGGTGATTTATCTTCTATACTGATTTATTTTTCAGTACTCTGCAAATGATTTACAAGTAGGATAAGAGGCCATTCCACATCACAAGTAGCTGAAAGAAAAGCATGTGAGCTGTAAAGAAAACAGTTTGGAATCCCTCTTAGAATCTTGTCCTTTGAGAAGTTTATCCACTTAACAAATATTTATCAGATCCTCAGTGTGTGTCAGGCAGTGCTGTCAGATGCTGAGTTGAAGACACAATCCTTTGCCTTCTGATCTAACAGTTTTGTGACTAATTAGTGCAATAAAATTGAGGATGATGTGATACAAGCATGACCAGAGGCCCAAAGACTGAGGTGCCCAGCTCTTTTCCTTCATGGTGAGGTTGAGGGCAGGTTTCATGGAGGAGAAATGTCTTGATGTAATGAGTATGTTTTGCCAGGGCAGAAAGACAAAGGGACATTTCTAACTAGAAGGAGCAGCCCAAATGGAGGTTAGGAGATGAGGGACAGGCCAGTGTTCACCCCCGAATGATTCATCTCATGAGGAAAATGAGTTCCAAGGAAGGCCCAGGAGGTCAAAGTTAGAAAGAGGTAGGATTATAGAGGGTGTTACATGTTCTGCTTTGGGATTTGAACAGCAGTGGACACTGAGGAGCCATGAAAGGCTGGTAATGAAAGGAGAATTGTGATCAAGATCTTTCATGAAGATTATTGTGGCACAATTTAGAAGGTTATGTTGGAGAAGACAAGATTCGACACATGGAGAATAGGAAATCATTGGAAGATTCAGGCAAAGAAATAAAGAAGCAACAAATTAAAACAAGGGCTATAGGGTAGGGATGGAAGGGACTGGTACCAGAATGTGGACCCAGTCATATCTCTAGGATATGAAGGTTTGGAAGGAGCACAGAAATGTGGAGGTAGAGGCAGGATGCTGGGTAACTGTAGGTTTTTGATAGGATAACTGGGCGGATACTGACCTCATTAACAGATCAGAAATAAAAGAACAGGAAGGCAGGTGATGCATTCTGACGTGGACAAAGGGAATGTAGGTGTCTTGGGGTGTCCACATGGAGATCTGGGATGCTGAGTTTAAAATTTCCTGGAAAAACATATTAAAATGAATCTTCTGGCACTTTAGTCACCATAGATGGGGTCCCAGATAGACCTGCTTTATTCTGTGATATCCTCTGGTCATTTACATGTTTCCACAATGATTGTCATGTAAGCATACCCATTTGAGAGGCTGCTTGCCCTCCTACGTGGTGAGTTTATTGCCCTCCTACATGGTGAGTTTATTATAGGGTAAGTGATTTGTTTATTTTACTGGATAAAAGTAATGTAGTTAGTATATCCTTGTGGTTGTCTTTGTACTTGCTCTGAAAATAGTTCCAAAATGAATTTTCTACTTGATAAGTAGATATTAAACCAAGCTCAGAGGGAAGAAAAAGCAAATCTGATAAGCATTGCGGTAGGCTGTTGCTATGCAGCAGGGAGAGCTGCTGGCCCCACTCAGTGTTTGGTGGGCTGGATCGACATGATTCATCACGAGCTTTTCCAGACAGAATGTTAGTTGCAGTCCCACAAATGGAGTATTTTATACAGTGTGGGATATATCATCGTCAGTGTCACACACCTTGGGTGCATTACAGTTTATGGTTTCTGTGGTTTTATTTACTTAGAGGGCAAGCACTGCTCAAATCTAATTTCAAGGCAACACATAAAATGTTTTTCCAGGGGTAGAAAGGCAAATATATAAACAGTTTGTGGTTACGAGAGAGACAAAGAGTGAAGGAGATGCATAAAGCTGGAAAACAATGGGCAGGAGAAACAAAAAGAGATATATTAGAGCAGCCCTTATAGTTAGGGAAACTGAGGCTCCCCTTGGTTAAAAAGGTTCTGTCTCGAAAAACGGCACCAAAGCTGAACATGCTGTTCTGATGATTACTTTTAGGCTGTAGACGCTGTCTGACCTTGAGAAAGGGGCCTGGGCAGGAACTGCCTTGAAATTGTGGGGTTTTGTCATCTGTCTGGTGCACTGGGGAGTCTCAGCTAATGGTCCCTCTTGCTTTCGCTAAAGCACTGGTTCTCATTTCTGGCTGTACCACTGCCCACACTTATCCTTAGGCCAGTTGACTCAGAATGGGCAGTTCCAGTGGGCTGTTTGAACAATTGAAAAAGCACCTCCCTAATCCTCACCGAGCGATTCTAACACACAACCAACTCAGTGTGGAGAACAATTGTTCTCAGGCCCTACCCTTGGTCTCATCTTTAGGGGTTGATCCTGCTCTGTATTGGTCCACGAGTATGGCCGGCTGAGTACAGATGCATGCAGAAACACACCATAGACCATGCTTCCTTTAGGTGAGAGGTTCCACGGAGAGGAAGACTACACATGCTTCCTCTGAACTGCATATGGGAACAATGAATTGATTGAAGTTCATCACCCTGGACTCAGTGGGGAGCAGGTACAAGACACTATCTTGTTCAAGAGGAAGCACTTTCTCTTGAGAAACATCCTAGAAGTAATGGCAGTAACAGTGGCTCCCAGCCTGGAAAAAGTGGCCTAGATGTTGGTCAGGTTACCACAGTGTGGTGCTGAGCACATTGTCAAATGGGGTCATGGATGTTAAAGGTGGCGGATGCTAGAGCTTCCTGTGACCCAAGGTCAGGTGGCAGGCAGGAAGTACAGAGAGCATGTTGGCACCTGGAATATGGGAGGGCAGCACTCCAGAGGCCTGGGAAGTGCTTACTGCTCCGGTTCCCTCAGGCCAGACAGCACAGACTAACAGGAGGGCAGGCAGCATCTGTACCCCAAGAAGAGGGCATCTGCTTTGGGATTAAGTAGCAGCCTTCAGAGAGGGTGAACTCACTAACACTTGGCTTGTTCCTGCAGCTTCCTTCCAATATGAGACTTGTCTTGTTCACTTATTTAAGTCACTGCCAAATGCCAGTGCACTGTGCGTGTTAGGGAAACATACATGTCAATAGAAAGTAATTGATTGGGGTGAACAGAACCATCTTTCCAATATCTGAAAATGGCTAAACTCTAGTAAAGCTGACGCTTGAGGTTTTCACAGACACCAAGACAAATTTTTGAGGATCTGTCTGATCTGCTTCGGAGGGGATGTTCTAACATCTCTGGAGA